TTGATTGTGTCTTCATCTGTCATGGCATCTTACAGAGTCATCATTAAGCAGACATTCTTGTCAGATGTAAGGAAAGGCAATGATGAAGACCTTGATCTCTGAGGGGAAAGGCCACTTTTCTACACTAATGTGCTCTTCTTTTTTCAGAGCTTTGAAAATATTGGATGTTGGCAGTCTTGCAAATGCTTGCCTTTCTTGCCTGATATTCATTGCAATGTCTTATTCACAGAGTGGTAATGAGTGATAACACAAAATTCAATATACTGTAGGTGGTCAATAAATATGTGGGAAATGACAATAATGATAAGCCTCTTCTTTCAGATTGATCATTTGTGGTTCATTCAACTTTATATGCTCAGTGATGCAAATTGAGTGACATACACACATCCAACCACAATGCATGGAGAGTCAATTTAAACGCGTACAAAATTGAACAGTGTAAGAAGAATGGCAAGGAGCATCTTAGTCTCTGAGTACATTCCTTGGCATCCAAGGCCATGCAGTATTGCCAGTTGTTGGCACCATCACTGTGCCTACCCCACATTCCCCAATTGTGCAAGCATCTCCCCATTTGTATTAGCACCTGTGACCTGGCCAGTGATGAGACTTCCTTCTGATTTGTTTTCCCTTATAAATTACTACTTTCCAAGTGTCATGTGATATCATATGGTGTTCTTAGTAAGGCATACCGTGACCTGGCTAGATGGAGGATTGTCCAGTTCTTCCATAGGCATGCATGATCAGGCCCATCCTCGTCACCTTGGCTTTGAAATGTTGACACATACATGGTCTCATGACTTTGTCCCACAATGCACTACCTGCCCGTGGCTTTCTAGTTTAGTTTCATTCATTGCCTCTGTGAGAAAGGAGAGCCATGTGACATGCATTCACACAGTGGATTCAGCTTCCTTTCGTCTTCAGGAGTCATCCTATTCAGAATGGATCCACTGGCCTTCAGCTATAATGTATTCTTGAAGAACTGAAGTTGTCTACATTTAGTCCATTTAGAAACCACTGAGTTCCTGGGTCTCTTAACCACCAAGAGAAACCAGATTTGTTAGGAGGACAAAAGACCTTTTTATGGTAGGAACAGATAAAGAACAAGTTGAGGCCAAACCAATGTGCCTTAGCCGAAGGAGGTATGAAAGATAAGCAAAGGAAAGGACAGAGTGTAGCTGCATGATGGGAGAACCCACTCCAGGGGTCTCCTGCTAGACAAAGCTGGAGCTTTTTGAACAGCAAGGTAATAACGTTAGCAATCTCCATGGGTTGAGTAAAGTAAAAACCAAAGCAGACCTGTATATACACACATGTAAGTGAAAAAAATCCTAGAGAAGAGAGAGACGGTGTTTGTATGAGACTCCCTTTCATGCACACTGGAAAGGCAGAGTTAGAGAATCATCAGTGAATGCCCAAACTAATGATGGAGGGTGAGGAGCTGGGTGGGCATGTTGTTTCACATGGTCTCCCTACAGAGATTTGTATTTCATTTTCAAAAGAAGATGGAAAGCTTTACAGTCCCCCTTATGATATGACTGTGTTTAATAGCCCTCATATTGGGATAAACTCATGTCATATTCACGCTAGCCTGGTACACTGAATAGAGATAGTAGTACGGCAGAATAGAGTACGGCAGAATGTACCACCTGAATCGACCCTTGAGAAACGGAGGAGACAGATCATAGGTTTCTGTATAATTGTCCTTGTGGCATCTCATTCTCAAGAGTCAAGACAGCCAGTGAGTTGTCCCAGATGGCAGTGGGAACAGATAGAACAGACTGGAAACTGAGTGCAGAGCTAATCCTGGATTGCATCCAGCACCCAGAATTGTAAGATGATCTGTAATGGGCTTTTATTGGGCACTTACTAAATTTGAAAGTGAACCGAGAATTGGATAATAGGATCACATGAATGTGAAATTTCCTTATTGTAACAATTACACAGTGATCATGTAAGAGGATATCCTTATTCTTAGAAATTACACACTTATGTATTCCGTAGATGGGACACATTATCTCCCTCCTTCTCTCAAGTGATTGAGTGAAAGATAAAAGGTGTAGTAGTAGAGGAGTGTCCCCAAAGACAGTGCAAGGGCCAGTGGAACAAAATGTAAATTATTGTGGAGCTGGTGGGAAGGATGTAGCATTGTTAGCAGACATCTTGTCAGTGGACTTCCTAGATTTTTCCCTCAGCTTGTTTGCGGCATTTGTCTTTGGCAGAAATTACTATACAGCAAATATCCCTCATGTCTATGAAAAGTCTATGGTGGATCTTGTTGGTGGTGGGTGGTGGTGGCGGTGGCAGTGTTTTCTTTGTTTTAGTTAAAATCTTTTATGCAACCACCCACCTCAGCCACCTAATGCTAGGACTAGGTGCATGCATCACCAACCATGGTTTGTAGATTTTGAAAATAAGTGCAGAAACCTTGCAGGCTACTAGAGATTTTTGGGGATCTGACATTGGGATGACAAATAATCAGACAGCAAAGTTAAGTCAGAAGGACTCCGTTAAGCCCAAACCAGGGTCATGAAGACTGAATTAACCAAAAACATTTGTCAGAGGTGTCTTTACAAAAATAATTGCCAGTCTCTACCCCAATTTTTTTCTCTTCAATAACAAGTTGCTAGAGTCCAGTTAATCCAGCAAAACTTTATCCCTTTATTTACTTTGTCTTTAGATAGCTTCACGTGTGGACATAATTCAGTAAGCTGCAACTTGAAAGCAATAGCAAGGGAAATTGGTATTTCTAACCTGTACTAGTCGTCTCTTTAAAAGACATTTTATTATCCAGGTGGGTGGAGCATCAAATCATGCATGTTTTCCAAAAATGCATTTCCTTCATGAGCTATAAATGAAAGTGCCCTTGAACAGATCTTAATGTGTTTTATATCCCACGCTATTCAGGTACTGCATTAAATAGTACTGCCCCTGTTCAAGGGCTGAAGCATAAGAAAGCTTTCTGGAATCTACTTTCTTTGAGAGTCTGAGTTTTAAAAGAAAAGTAAAGTGTAATTTTCTGAATGTACTTGTGTGGGGATTTTTTTCCTCTTGATTTAGTGGCTTTGAACCTGAAGCAACTGACCCAATATTAAATGAATTGAATCTATACCTCAAGTAGTATATTTTTCCTTTTTTTTGTTTTTTGTTTTTTGGGTTTTTTTCGAGACAGGGTTTCTCTGTGTAGCCCTGGCTGTCCTGTAACTCACTCGGTAGACCAGGCTGTCCTCAAACTCAGTATTGGATTTTTCTGAGTGTAAATTCATGATGTCTAAAGCTGTCCAAACCACCAGCATTGGTAAGAATTCAAGGTCTTAAAAAGAAGAATTTATTTTAAAAGAGAAAATGTCCCAGAAGAGAGTCTCTCTCTTCCTCCCATGGATTCCTGAATTTCCCTAGAAATTGATTTTGATGCCTCGGCCTCAACACAATCCCCAGACATGAACTTTTCAGTACCATCTTGGTTCATTTTGTCATGACGGCTCCATTCACCTTTGGCCTAAACTGAGTCACCTTGATTTCCTTTGGTCTGCTCGGAATGTTTTGTCCAATATCAACCTCTCCAAGCTCCCAGCTGGGATGTGAATATCTTTTCCATTAGAGGCTGTTCTAGCATGGCATTTAGGAACTGGGGGAAAAGATGAGATCCACCGTAGGAGAGCTGAGTGTTTTGAAGGACCAGGGTTGTCCTCAGAGACTGAGTCCAATGCATCCTCATTTAGATTGTATTTTTATCTTTAAAATTTTTATTCTACGTGTATGAGTGTTTTGCCAGCATGTGTATCTATATACGACTTGTGCACCTGGTGTCCTAGGAGGCCAAAAGAGGCTGTCAGATCTAGAGTTACAGGCAGTTGTGAGCCGCCATGTAGATCCTGGGAATCAAATCTGATTCCTCTAGAAGAACATCCAGTGTTCATAACCGCCGAGCCATCTCTCCAGTCCTCTCACTAGGACTTTTAAGAAGTCTGTGGGTGTTAGCATGTGTTGTTGTTCCAGGTGGAGAGGTGCTGAGATCTGAGCACTGTGCAGGAATGCTGTACTTATGGTTTTTATCCTCATAACCACCCTGCCAAGTAGAAATACTTGACTCTGTATGTCGGGAAGCTGCTGTGGAGAACATTGCCTCCCTGAGTGTCTCCCAGACAAGGAGGCTGGGATGCTGGAATAAGAGTGTATGCAGTCTCAGGAGGCTTCTGTCATCCTTCTGTGCTTAGTCTTTTTAAATATCAGGGTGCGCTGAAATATTCAAACCATGCAGTGACATCAAGTTGTTGTACCTGGGTTTTGTTTTGTTTTGTTTTGTTTGTTTTTAATAAGAAACTTGAGCTAAATACAGAAGAAGGTACTTCCAGTTGCGGTGAGAGCGTCTGGAGTTTAGTGTTCCTATGGTGTTCAGCCTAAACCGACTTGATGGACACTTCCTGAAGCACTTCTCTTGCTTTTACTTCCATTTTCCTAGAGCTTCTGAAGTACATTCAATGATATAAAGCATGGAATAGCTTTTATGGACACAGTAAATGATAAAACTAATTTCACTGTTTATACTTGTTTCTTGGTGAAATTTCTGACATACACACTTCAGATGTTTCCCATAATTTCCGGAGATACGGCTTAAAATCTGCCGTATTTATGTGCAAGTGATCTATTCTGTGTTGAGAAGGTAATATTCAGGCTACCCCTCACAGGCTTGGTTTTCTACTTGACTGTGCTGAACTGTGTTCGAGCTTTGCATCTTGGGAAGGTTTCATCATGAGTCTGGGTAGAGGCCAGGAGAACGCATCCTGGTAGTTAGTGTTCTTGGCAGTGTGGATACAGTCAGTTGGGTGTTCTGAAGTAATATGGTGGGGTATGTGTGATGTGCTCTCACAGGCTTTAGCCAGGGAGACCTATGGCTATGAGAATACCCTTAGGATGTGGAAAACATAGATCCTCTGTGCTAGTCTCTACCTTTCCATAGATTGAAATTTTTTGCTAATGCATTTTTTTAAACTATTTTACAGATGCAGATTTTCTTTTACAACCCAGACGACTTTGACAGCTTTCAAACGGCAATTTCTGAGAACAGAATAATTGGAGCTATGGCCATATTTTTTCAAGTAAGTTAACGGTGGCTGGAATACTTCAACCAGAGAGTTCTTTGAAATTTTTTTCCTTAATTTGCCGAATTGTTCTATGTTTAATGAATGCATCTGTTTTCTAGTTCACACCTGTCTAAATGAAAGATATTTCATATTGTCTAATGTGTGATTTAAAATGTAAATAAGTATGTTTAGAAACATAATGAAAAATTTTGCATGAATTATTCTGATTTTATTGCTATTTGACTGGCGTGCAGATTGAGGAACACATTTATCATCTAACTTACTTGGAGGCTGAAGCGTTTCGAACAGGTTACTTCAGAATAATAAGAGACAGATGGAAAGGAGGTGGCTTTCTTTCCAGCAACTTTGAAATTCGACATTACCTGAAGAAACATTAATAAACAGCACCAGCCACTTGCTGGGAAAGACCCTTTCTCTCTGTCCCAGATCCCCATGGTAACTCATCGTTCTTGAGACTCCAAGTTGGTTCACTTATGAATCACCGGTTTCCATCTCTTGTTTCGTTTTGTTTAAGATAGAGTCTCACATTGTAACGCAAACTAGTCTGGAACTGACAGTAATCCTCCTGCTTTAGCTTCCCTGTGTTGGGACTGCAAGTGTGAGTCACAATACGTACAGAGTTCTTTCTCTTTTCATGTATTTATATTGGTTAGTGCTCATAGCTCTTACATCCGCTTTTAATGAAAGGTGGAAACCTTTCATCCTGCTTTAGATAATGCCTCTCAGGTGTATGCTTGCTCTCTGAGTCTCTGTCTCTGTTTCCCCTCCCGCCCTATCGTGTGTGTGTGTGTGTGTGTGTGTGTGTGTGTGTGTGTGTGTGTAAGTCAGAAGGCAACTTGCAGGAGTTGTTTGTCTCTTTGACCGTGTAGGTCCTTAGTTTTTTGTCTCAGGTTGTCAGGCTTGGCCAAGGCAAGTGTCTTTACCCACAGAGCCATGCTCCTCCCTGCTCCTGACAGTGACTGGATTGCCTCTGACAACAGTGATGTCTTACTCTTAAGCAATTTCCACCTGGCTGTTAACCCATTGTTTTCTGCCTTCTAGCAGGTTGCTTTTTATGTTGCTGGCTGTTACCTTCCCACCTTTCTTTAAAGCCACTGAGAGCAACCAGTCCCTGCCCTGGGGACCCGGGGTGGGGGGTGGGGGACAGTGCTGTTTGTACAGGAAAGGATACTTTGTAAAAGGTAAGTGTAAAATGTATTGGAAAGATGCATGCCTCACCAAAATGCTTGATTTTCTTTTTGATTCTTCCACAAACACTTGTTAAATGTAGGACCAATTAGAGTCTTGGGCAGGCAAGCCACCAAAACCCTTAACTGTGAAATCTAGGTTTTGAGTGTTTGAAATGATTCTAGACACAGCTCCTACTTCATGTATGAAGAATTTGAATATATATTTCATTAGTTTTCACTTTACAGCAAGTTTTGGCTTGCTGTCCTAGAGACAAAAAAATATAGGACATATAATAAAAGAAACAGAATTGTGTTGGGCACATCTGTACTGAGCACTGATGTGTTTATAAAAAGATAGAGAGATAAGAAGTATGTTCCATGGGTGTGTGGAGAGGTATGGGGGAAGGGATGTCTCAGCAGGCCCATGCCGAGGAGGCATCTCTTCCCGCTGAGGGACCAGCCACACACCGTATAGTATAAAATAGAGTTCATTCAGGACATGGGGAGGGGAGCCAGGAGGGTAGTAGAGGCAGAGAGGTGGGGGGGGGGGAGGGGAGGGGAAGGAAGGGGAGGGAAGAAGTAGAGGAGTAGAGGCCAGCCATGAACATGTGGAGAGGGAGGAGGAGAAGGGGAAGAAGAAAGGGGACAGCAGGATCAAGAGAAAGAGTAGGGGGCAAGCAGCCCCTTTTATAGTAGGCCAGGCCTACCTGGCTATTGCCAGGTGACTGTGGAGATGGAGTTTAGACAGAATACTAACAAGCACCTTGGTTCTCTTCTGGGTCAGGCCACCTGTGTGCTGATACACTGGCGTTTACTTTGTGTCTTCAGTAGAAAGAAAAAGTTCAGTCTGTACTTTTCTGTTTTGAATCTCCTTATAAGAATGAATTTGAGGGATGAGGAGAAGGCTCAGTAGTGAAGAGCAGGTATGAAGCATGCTGACAGAGGACTGAGTTCAGGTCCCATGCTAGGTAGCTCACAAGTGCCTATAACTCCAGCTCTAGGGGATCTGATAACCTCTCCTAGCCTCTCCAGGGCACTACACTCAGGTGTATACATAGACACACAAACACACATACACATAATTTAAAACAAAACACAAATCCTTTAAAAAGGAATAATAAGTATGAAAATTTGTTATTTCTCTAAAATATAAAGAGGTCTTAGTCTAGCATTGTTTCTTTATGGGGGAAAGGTAGCTGCCATGCAAATTTGACCTGAGTTCCATTGAGAATTCACATACAAGGAGAAAGTTATTCTTTGACATTCACACGTATGTGCCCTCTACCCCACCCACACATCACATCACACATACACACACACACACATCATAGGGACACACATCATATGGACACACATCATGTACACACACATGCATACACACCTCTGTATAGTAACAGACCTTACTCTCACCCTGTCTTTGTCTGGTTTGATAATCTAGGGTGCCACTTGCTACAAGTGGCAAGGCCAAGTTCTATGTAGATTTTTCAGGTTCAAAGGAAACTCTCATTTCTCCAAATTCTGGAGGTTAGATAAAAAGCCAGCATTCCTTAGAAACTTGTGAAACTGGTTCTTTACCTACTCCCACCCCCACCCCCACCCCCACCCCCACCCCCACCCCAAAAAGAGCCTTTTCCCTTACATCAGAGGCAGAAGGGACTGATGGCCACAGGTGGTGCCTATAAGCATACCAAAGCACATTCCTGCCTCCAGGTTCCCTCAGCATCACAAGTCCTGGTTAAGCATTTCAGTATCCAAGAGCATCCTAGCTCTTCTGGTTCCCTCCCCATTCTGAATTTCTCTAGCTCATGAGCTGCCCCCTACTTATTCTCCTTATAGCTCGGTGTGGCTATGCTCTCTCTTTAGCCAGCACTCTCTATGTCCCACCCCTGTCTCCCTCACTCTCCCCATCTCTATTTTCCTACTCTCTCGCTCTCTATGTCCTCTTTCACTGTTCTCCAACTGCTTACCTCTTGGCCATCTTCAGTCTGCTACTTTCTCTCTCTTCTCTGGACTCTTCCAGATCCTCTGACTGTTCTTGCTCCTTTATCTACAACAAAAACCTTCCCCTTTCCCATACCATGGAGTGGTCCTGTTATCAGTTTATACATAGGTGGTGGTCCTTACACATAGTCTGTTGTTCTGAGTAATCCTGGTGCTTTCCCTGCCTTCACTACAGTTAGACCTGTAAGGTTCACAGTGTTGCCAGAGCACGGGCCCAGCAGGTAGACCCAAGAGTCTTGTTTAGCTTAGATTTAGATTTACACACCTGCTTTATTGCAGATCATAGACATGATTTTTTTAAACTTTAAAGTTTTTAAAAAGTTAAGTATGGGAAGGTTTACATAAAATGTCTTGCTACTCTAGTTGTTATCAAGATGGGTAGTGTCTGCCTGTCTGCCTTGGGGGGAAGTGCCTTCCCATTGTAACAAGATGTACCTTCCATTCAGATGGAAGCACTGCTCAGGTCTATGTACTCTTAAAGTTGCTTATGCTGGGCATGAACTGCAGAAACTTTGAGTGGCAGCCGGTGTCCTTTGGTAACAGGTCAATTTGAGAGTCTGTCTTCATGTAAAAGTTAGCAAGCAAGGCAGGCTTCCTGCAAGTGTTCCCCGTGAGTCCAGATGAATGGCAGATGAACCATTTCCATGTGCAGGCACATGCAACTGCGGTGCTGGTCCACAGAGAGCCCTTTGCTGTGTAGTGGCTGGTAATCTGGCAGGAATGTCTCCAGATTATACCCCATTGGCTCCAGACCACACAGATCACCTTTGGACTCCCAGCCCTTGGGAGAAAAAAAGTGAAGTAAAACTAAAGTTTTATTTTAAAGAACTTAAAAAAAAAATTTGGATAAAGGAATTTGTTGTTAAATCATTCCAGAGAATAAATAATTAGTGTAGTACAAAAATTAAAATAATTATCTTGTTCTTTTAGAGTAGAACTTTGAGTATTCTCTATTGTTAATCTTGTTTGAATGCTGATAAAAATGTAAAATGCTCTGAGAATTATTAAAGTAGTCTTTTAAGCCATTCTCTTATTGTGATGCCTTCACGAGGTTATCTGGTTAAACAAGTAAGAATATACTCATGTTTCTGTGAGCTACAATCAAGAGAATAACTGGGCAATTTTTGGAATGATATTTTGCTTGTAAAATAATGCACTAAAAGACTTAATTGGCTTCCCTTGAAGTTTTGAGAGGAGAGCAACTCATATTCAGGATAACCACACTTTGTGTAGGGATGTACTTTTGATCAAAACCCCTGAATTAGGCTCGCCTTCTCTGTGCTTCTCATTTATAAGCTGTTTCTTCCTTGTGCTTCGTTCTTCACTCATTCCATACGCTCCTGTTTTCCCATGAGGACTAGGTGGGAAACCACGTGACCACCTGCGGGCTTTCAGTCTGGCAAGCAGAAGTTTGCTGCCCCATCTCATGGACTCCATTACTGCTGCATTTGCACAGAGCACCAGAGGACTGTTGAGTGCATTGACTCTTTAGTGGAATGCTCCACCGCTTCCTTCCATGTGCAAGCATGACACTTTCTTCATTTGTTGTTGAGTCTAGGAAACTTTGAGGTTGTAAATGCAGAAGACACTAAGAGTCGAGTACAGTTAGATACATTTTTCTTGTGTTTTAGTCTGGTTGGGATCACTTCTAAATCTTCTCTGAATGCAAAGATATGAAATGGCTGCCGTGGCAGGTGTGGTACAGCCAGTCAGTGTATCTTTAAGAAGTAAATACATTGGATTGTGCTTGTCCATAAATGATCTACATACATACATACATACATACATACATACATACATACATACATACATTGTGAAGTGTTT